AAAATGGAGAAGGCGTTAACGAAAGTGACGAGCTTTAAAGTCGGAGGTTCATGGATCTCCAAGAAAGCCAAAGAAGAGCTCTCAAACATCACTAATGACCTCACTGTGAGTCATCTTAATTCTCTTGCTTCCTTGTCTGATTTCTTCTCGTGTTTTCTTTGGGTTATTGCATGCGATTTGGTTGTGAGATTGATGGGTTTTGGTTAGTTTTTGGTGTAATGTAACGGTTAAGATGCGATTCTGTTGTTTGAAATCTGGTTTAGTTGATGTTTCGAAATTGTAGAAAGAATCATAGATCTATGAAGATCTGAGATCGATTTCACGAAAATGAAGCTTGAAATTGGTTTAGATCATTAGAAACCGTTTATTTTTCAGTCCGATTTCAGTCCAATTTGAGTATTAGAAATTCTGCAATTTGGTTAACCAATTGTAGCAATTTTGAATCAAGCTTGTGTTTATGAATAAAATGCATAGAGAGTATTCATTTTCTGAACTGAATTAACCAAACTAAGATGATTCCTAATTTAGAGTTTCCAATTTAAGTCTCATTGTTTACTAGAAAAGAAGTTTTTTTTGTTGTTGGCTATAATGTGTGATCGTGTTCATGTGATGTTTATTCGAACTAAGAGCGCTACATTACACCGATAAGGAAAGAAACATCTTTTATACAAGCTTATCGAACCAGTTTACGGGATTTTGTGTTCTTGATTTGATACATATTTGTAACAAGATATCAATTCTAAGGCCATTCTTCGGATTTAGTATGCAAGTACGTATCATTGTGTTTGTAGGCTTTGGATGGTTGATTTGCATTGCCTCAAATGGAAATATAATGTTTCATTTTTCTTTTCCAGACTTTCTCCAGTACCGTTGAAGAGAAAGCAAAATGGGTTTTCAACAAGCTTAAAGGTAACAAACACCATTTTATATCTCCGGGATTAGAAATCGAATATGCGAGAAAGTTCCTAACCTACAATTTCATTTTTCAGGAAAGCCACTGAAAAGTTTACCAGATCTCCTCAAAGAGTACAATTTACCACCAGGACTCTTCCCACAAAACATCATCTGCTACGAATTCGATGAGACAAAGAACAAACTCACTGTCTTCTTTTCTTCACCGTGCGAAGTTACATTCCAAGATGGATCAGCGATAAGGTACGCGACACGGGTTAAAGGGATTTTGCTTAGAGGGAAACTGATGGGTGTGGAAGGAATGAAGACAAAAGTGTTGGTTTGGGTCAAAGTGACAACAATCTCAGTCGAGAGCTCGAAATCCGACAAGCTCTGGTTCACTGCTGGTGTCAAGAAATCTCGATCTAAGAATGTTTACGACACGCCTCATGATGCTATTAAAGTCGTTGGAGAGTTCTAAGGTTATTATCATATTTTGATTCATAATTTTATATATTGGTTATTTGGGTTTATTTTGCATCTTGGTAAGAGGTATATATATAACTCTCATTTTGGCTAAATGTATGACTCTCATTTTCCTTTATTATGATGGTTAAAATCATAACGACTCTCATTTTTCTACATTATCAAATATAGATGATAGTTAACAAGTTAATACAATTTTAATTTGTGATTCTCATAAACTAATCAAACTAGTGTATGCAAGAAAAAAAATCATCGTACGATACTCTTTTTTTTGTTCCGTGAGATTTCATTATCTCTTATTCTCGTGTTTTGTTTCAACTACTTTTAGAGTTAAAACTTAGTTCGTACCAATAATGTGTTTTGTTACTATTACGCCAATTAATTCCTTAAGATATCCGGCCCAAACAAATTGTGATGTAAAAGTCCAAAAATTCTTGGTTATAAAAAACAGGAAATCTAAGCTCGTTCAATCTCTTTTTTTGACATCAATGATTTCAAATCTATCTCGTCGACTAATCCGCTAAATGATCAAATATATTTACTTTACCATTATGATGTTAAAAATTTGGAGTTGAAGATCGATATATAAGGGGGCGATTGGTAACCACTATCACTGTGTCTTTAGGTTTTAGGTTGTAGGCTTTTGGATGTAGAGATCTTAACTACGATTTTAAATCATATGATTTTAAATCATGCCTATTATTTTCAATATTATTCTGAATAATCAAATCCATAATTTTGTGAATTTACATACCCCAGATCCTATTGTTAACTTCCATGCCGCGACATAGATTGTTTAAACTATCTTAAGATGATCAATATGAAAAACCACTAAAAGCATCATTAATAATGAAATATTGTGGATTTCATTAGCATTAAAATATAATATACATCATTAAAATATTAATAAAAAGATGAGACAGAAGGAGAGAGAGAGTGAAAGTTTCTATAGGGTAAGACAAATTAATGAAGGTTCATACACTTGTCAATAATCTAGTGGATTAATTTTTAAAAA